GTGCCATATGCCACCCAGAATGATTAGAGAGTTTAAAGTATCTAGCAACCGGTTTGGATGTGTCCTTGTCATTGCTTTTTACATCACGAAGGTGTTATGGCTGTGTTGGTAGTTGAGGGTTCAAGCCCCAGACCACAACAACACTCATGGTCTTAAAATAACTGAGGAGGATGTGCTGCCTTTGATACAACATCAAAAAATGGCAAGATGTTCTAGTCTTCTTAGCTAAGGATGATAAACCATAGGCCCCATACTCTCCTACATCTTCTCTGTACTGGTTATAAGCAGGGGACATTAACCCTTTAACTCCTAGAAATGATTAACAGGTAACTTCTCCCTATAATACCCATACATTGTCCAGCAAACAGACAATGAGAATACTCAAGCTAATCAGGTAGAGGATGTTTTCTTGATCTAACAGAAAAGTTCTCATAATTAACTGATGAATATGCAAATGTGTGGCAGCTAGAGGGGAGAATTAATTAATAATCAGATCTTGAGAGTTAATTAGTAAAAAAATTCACAGACTTCAACAAAGAGTAACAAATTTGGCTCCCAGTGTGGTCATCTGGCCTTGTTATCATTTATAGAGGCCCACATTTAAACCTGCTTGTAACAGCCAAACTGAGCCAGCCTGTCTAAATATTCCAAATAAATAACTTAATATCAAGTTCACACCCACATCACAAATGGAGGCTAGGTGCCCAAGGGGCCCAGGAGCTGCAACTACAGTCACACCCCAAGGTGCTAGAACACCCAACTTGCCTACCCAATGCTAAAGTGACAGCTTGCAGAAATAGACCCTGCAAAAGAAACCCTGCAGTTAGGTTTGAGGGGAGGAAACACCAAGAAACGCTATCCTCAGGACAAGAATCCCATGCTATAGAACAGCAAACAAAACACAGGCACATGGTGGAACAATGCATGCACTGATAAGGTATACCACTGGATGAGGACGGCCCTAAGGCCCTGACATCCACAGCAGTACTGCTGCAAACTCTGCAGAACACAACAAATACTGGCTGAGACACAAACCAAATGCCTGAAAATGCTACTGACCATACATGTATTTGCTCCTAGTCATTTAAACTGTATGTTAAATTCCATATAACTATAATAAAATTTGTTCATAAACTAATACTGGCCCATGGCAACTGAATTAACCTATAGCTACTATAGTCTTTAAAATGATTTTAACAGTGAGAGAAAAAAAGCAAAACAAAGCAAACAAACACTCAATTTATTCAAAATCAGGTTGCCATGGTATGACCACTTACCCATCCAGCTGGGTCAGGCATCTGAAAAATTCCATTTTTTGGTTGTAAAAAAATATTCAGGCATGTGCTGGAAGTGGCTCCAAACATAACAGCAATGGTGAATCTGTTGCCCAAACCTCTTAAAAAATCAAATGGTCTGAAAGGAAACCACACGAACATTGGTAAAACAGTGGCACCCAAATAGCTCACTTAAAAATACACTCCCATTAAACCCATTCAATAAGGGAATACCTCATATTATTGCACTGTGTTTATATTATGACTGAAATGGCACAATTTCCTGATAGATCAGGGGTGGGGGAGTTTTTGAGTCAATTTTTGCTGCATATGTACCACTGGCCCCTCAGAAAACCTGCCCCATTATAGTCTACCCTGTGGCCAATTATACACCTCATCTGCTAAGTGAGTCACTTTACGGGAAGTGTTATTTTTGTGATCCCATCTACCCATGTGCTGCTGGCCTCTTGGAATACCTGCCCCATTATTATAGTCTATTCTGTGGCCAACTATACACCCCATCTGCTAAGTGAGTCATTTTACCAGAAAAGTCATTTTTGTGGTCCCAACTTAGTCTATTTCTGTTTATAGATGCATCTATCTAGCTACTACCAAGTCTTTTAAGTAGGTCATGATCCTAAAATGAAGTGACAAATTTGTTTACGTGAATTTAGAACACTTTACTTTTCATTTGCAGTGCATTAACATTCTGGTACATTTCAATCTAATTTGAACCTTCCTGTTTGTAAATCCTTACTTTGATGTATGAAAATTTTCCAAATCATGAAAATGTGTTAGTCCCCACTCTTATAACTCTACTGAAAATGTAACCCCATTATAGCTAAGAGAGTCATGAAAATGCCACCTGAGCTTAAAAAAAATAATAATAATAATACATGTAATAATTATTATCAATCGTGCAAGCATGAAATTACACATGAAGTTTTAGCAAAACATTATCACCTTTCAAACTTTCTGACTTAAAACAGGGGAGAGAGGGACACCTATTCCAGAGGGGGTGCTTATTGGAAGGAGGGCGCTAAATGAAATCATTGCAACATGTAAATAATTTTGCCGTCATTAATTGATGAAAGTTACTTCAGTATTTCACTTACAGCTGGAGGAAGACAGCCAAGATCAAACAGACTCTCCTTGATAACTGTAGGACACCTAAATTGATAATTTTCGAGATCAAAAATCCATCAACATGTCTCAAAAAACAAAATTACAAGTTAAGACATCTTTGGATTAAAATAAATTTGTTATATTATTAGTATTCAAGAAGAAAAAAAAAGGTGTTACAGAAAATCAAAAATTCATGCTGGAATGGAAAATTAAAAAGTTAATACATGATAATGCAAACAAAGGCAGGATCAAGCTATCTGGCACAGACACCCCAGCTTTCAGCCCACATTCCCCTCACTTTCAGTCCCAAATTCAAGTGTGAAGTGAGAAAGACAACAGCACTTTATTTCCAGAAAAAATAAAAATAAAATTCAAAATAAAAAATTAAAAGAATTTCTCATACAATTTCAGAGGAAATAACTATACAAGGCCTACTGTAATTTAAGACATGGAACAGAACAAAAGGGGAGATGTGTAATTTTAGAAAGAGAGATTTTCAATTTGTAAAGCAAGAATCTGTGTAGAACTCCACTGTACAGAAGGATGAGAGGATCTATTAGAAACCTCAAAGCCATTGAAAAAAATCATCCACAACTGCAAAACCCCCCAAAAAATTCAACCAGAACCGAAAACCGCATGCAAAACTGTCAAAACTGATAAATGTTCACATCCCAGTTCTCAAAACCCTAATCGCTCTGATATGGTGTTGACATGTGGAGCATACAGAGGTTTTGTGGCTACAATAAAAACCCGCGCATAAGAACCAAGAATTTTGGAGTTCAGGCTGAACAGGTTCTTATATTTTGGGGTATTTTTTCCAATAACAGGCTGATTAGGTTCTTAGTAGGTTCTTATTTGCAAAAGTTATTATAGTGATAGCATTCGGGGAACTGCAATTGTAGTATTAATATGCTATAATCGTAAAGCATTTACAAAAATGTCAAGCCTTGTTGTCAAAACAAGTCCTGTATCATGGGCCTGACCATATTCACAGTTGTATGATCACCATGCAAATTTCAACAGGAAAAATATGCCTGCCTTGTTTTCAAGTACAGAAGCAGAAACATAAATTGTTTATTTTTGTTACATGTATCACTGTTACAGTTGGACTGAAAAATCTTAGAGAAACCTGAAAGTATTTAAATAGGGTTTGGAATTTTACACATGTCAGATGAACAAAGGAAAACTTCAAGGACGACATGTACATTCTTTACTGTATTGATATTTTGTCACATGGACTAAAATCACATCTGGGCACTTACAGAATCAAGGTCCAAGAGAAAATTCCTGTATTTTTGTATACTCTGTATTAAAAAAAAACTGTTTTGATTTTTAAATGTACTGTACAGTATTTGTGACTGTATTTGTAACTACAGCAAAGTTTTATGGAATGAATAATATTTTATTGGTAAGACTAAAAGGCAGTACACTACAAAAATTTTCACAATTAAAATCCAGAATTTGAACATCAAATCTGGAGTGTTTTTTTTTAAATAAGAACCTATTTTTCTTTGTCAGGCTGAATAGGTTCTTACATATTTGGGTATTAAAATGCAAAATTTCAGCCTGTAAGTTCTTAAATCACTAGGTTCTTATACGCGGGTTTTTACTGTATTCGGGATCAGTGGAGGCGCATAATGGCCGCTTGGAGCGAAGAGAAAACGGAATCCATATAGGACAATCCGAAAACTTCATCGGAAACCAAATCCGTAACCCATTAGACGGGTATTTCTGACGAAAACCGAAAACCAATTGCTAAAGAACGGAAAATCTGCAAACCGCAATGAACACCCAATCCAAAAAAGCGAAATTCTTTAGCACAAAACCCGATCTCAAAAAAAATATAGAAAATCCCAATGCCTCCCTTAAGGATGAATCGGTCAGTTCAGTCCACAAATCATACAAATGATAACAGAACAAACGTTACTATTACTGAAACCTCAACGAAAACTTTGTTTTTTTAATTTTTCAATCAGAAACATGCTGCAAACCAACTTTAGTCACGCGATATTATTCAGGGAAGGTGTCATGTCACGCAATCGAATTATTTATCGACTACGAACATCGATACTTGACAACTTGTAACTCCATTCAAGTCCAATCGGTAAAACTTTTATACGTAGTTTTTTTTTTCTTTTCTATAGAGTCATTTTATATTGAATGAAATTGTTTTTGAATGACAGTGTATAAAACTTCAAATAAATTTTTGCAAATGTCTGCTAATTTTGAGTATTTTTCAATAAACAAACAATATACCTCGAGGAGACGATAGCGAAACGAAACAACCAAATCACTGAACGAGCGTGCGCGAATCCAGGGCTCATTCACTCATGGAAATATCGTACGTACCCCTGAGAAGTGTTCTCCGCGAATCTATTTGCCATTTTCAAAGCAATCTATTGGGGCAACTGCACGTGGCTCAACCTCCCTCGTCTGACAGCTCCTTCCATTTGGTTCCGCGAATTCGAATTAGATTATGGTTATTTTATGACCTATTGTTTTTCTCGGAAAATTAGCGGAAGAGAAATAGCAGGAGTCTGGAAGCTAGCTACGTTGGTGACCGCTGACTGAAGTACAGGAGATTTTCAAAGATGGCGCGAAATGTCAGAGAGTGATGTGAGCACATCACTATACTAAAATGGTTTGTCAGTCGTTTTGGTTCTCAGCGGCAGTCTTTTAACCGATGTTTTAATTATAATTACATATATTTCTACGGGATATTCGATCGTTCTTCAGCCCTGCTTGGAAAGACAGCGAAGTAAGGCGCTTCGAAAGTACAAAATAAGCACGGCAATGATTCTACTGCGATGTCATTATCGAAGCAAGATGTAGGAAAGAGCCGAACGGAAAGCAAGGTAAGTAGTGGATTATGTGGCATTTGAGAGAGAAAGGTATTTGTGTTTTCAGGGAATTCGACTTCAGAGGTGACGGAGAAAAGATCTGCTATATCACAGCGCCTGTCTGACTGAATCGATCCTTATGTGTATCTATGTACTCTGCAATTCACATTCCCATCTATCTTCTCGGGGAGGGGGGCGGGGGAACACCTTATTTCGCCAAAGTTGGTATTTATTGCCATACATGGTAAAATTTCCTCTGTCTTGAATCTTTTATTTAGCACACGGTAGATAATTTTACAACATGTTTTAACCAAGAGTCTCATTCTACTACATATATCTAACCCAAGGTATCTTTCTGGACTGGAATGTGAGAAATGGTAAAGTACTGTGTGTTAACTAACTTTGTAGGTATAATTTTCAGTAGTTTGTCGGAGTGTGTCAGGGTAGCTGAGTGAGGCTGATAAGTTACGATGTTTCGCCTTTTTTTTTTTTTTATCTGAAACAAGGTTGTAAAATGAAGCAATTTTGTCTTTGTCCTTTAACACCCAAGATCTGTTTGCTAATTCTCTCCTCTAATTGCTACACATTTCCTTGTACATTTGTGAGCCTGAAAGGCAGAATGGACACTAACAGAAAACTGTTTGAACGGCAAAAATGCACGGATGACGAACAGAAACCATTCCAACAGATGTCGCAATACTTCGAATGGATGCTAATGTATTTTGAACATATATGCAAACTGTTCAACATTTTGTTGAACACTATGAACAGATTTTTTTAGGCGTTCAAATGGATGATGAACAGATAATGAACGGTTTACCTGTTCAAATGGATAACCGTTAGTGTCTGTTTTGCTTTTCACAGTCACATCTGTTATAGGAATTTGTTGTTAGATCAAGATAACAACTTTTTCGTTACTCTTTTGTTGGAAATTGTATGGATATTCTAGGGAGAAGTTACTTGTTAGTTATGTGAGAGTTTAAGGGGTTAAACAGTGTGATGTGATACACTGCCACCTAAATTTCACTCAAGTTTGAAATATCTTGGACATTGACATTCCCTACAAATTTGTTCAAACTGCAGCTTACTAACTCTGCAGAGCAGTGGCAGTGTGCAATACTAATGCCTATTTCATGATTTTGACAAGTACTAGTCAATTTTCATTTGTTCAGACTAAAGGGAAAATGAAATTGTTCATTAACTTGAAAGGTGATTGATAAAGAAACCTTGAGACTTCACCTTACTCAGACTATTTTTTCCACAAGCTTGGTGTAACCAACGCACCAGCAATAAGTTTTAGAGGAGTTTAATTTCCAGACAACTCGACTGAACTCTTCTATTTACATACCATTGTCAGTGTTTTCAAAGTAAAGTATTACAAACATAATACATCAAGAATGGAATGACTAATTAAAAGATTAGAAATAACATAGGAAATACAAATTACAAGAAATAGGTATAACATACCGTAGGCAATACTAATAACATAGCAAACATGGGTCACTTGATGAAAGAGCAATTAACCTGACGATTTTGGAATACAGCTGGCATAAGAACATACTTGCAATTACCTTTTAACTTGAGCTTACACCTTTTTCATTTGCATGATCCATGTGAAAGTTAAAATTATATGGATAGTTGTGCAGAGGGGGATTAGTTTCTATACCTGGCATCTTCTCTTGATTTTCTGAGCTGAAAGAAAATGTCTTGTTAGAAAGTTGTGCTCCGAGGAACAACACCCCCCCCCCCTTGATCTTATCCAATTCTGTTTGTTCTTCGTTGTCACTGAACCACATTGATCTGACATTTGTGTGAATGAAAATATGTAATTGTTAATTTACTGGGCAGGGTTTATCAAGCAGTGAAGATGATGACATTGCCTGGAAACAAAAAATCTAAAGAAAATCAGAAGAGGAAGAAGACAGGAAAAAAAAACATTATTGACTCAGGTAATGTTTTGTGGTGAACATGAACAGATTTTGAGGCTCTACGCAAACTGTTACACCTGTTGGTAGTTATTCTCTACAGTGTCCTTGTCAATTCCCAATGCAATTTGCATCATTATGAAAACATTGTGTTAAAAGAATCACATAATTATATGGACAACATCACAATTATATCCTGACCTTATTTCTGAATTAATCGTACGTCTCTGTTAGATTCTGATGAAGATTCTTTTCCTCCAAAAATAAGGTATGTCATTTGTTTCTTGAATTTGGTTCCATTTTATACAGTTGTGGTTAAACTCTTTGACCCTAATGTCACCCCTGAATCAAGAGTCAAGGAAATGATCACCAACTTTAGAAGCTCTTGATTATTAAACAAATTCTCCTTGTCAGCACCTTAGAAAATGCATAGAGAACAGTATGGAGAATATGGATACTGATGTCAGGTTGTATTCAGTACCTGGTTCTCTTTCACTCATCTCTGTTTCAGAAAAGCCACATCAGTAAAGAAGGAGGAGAGTTCAAAAGCTAAGAAAAATAGAAGACCAATCAGCTTAGATTCAGGTAAGGAAATTATGTGCGCTTATTGAGGGTACCCTATACTTTTTATGTGAAGGGTGATTGGGAGATTTTGTTTTCATAGGAATCATGATTTCAATTTTTTTTTGTATCTTTTTTTTGTTTTTGTTTCATGAATTGTGATTAAAGATGATAAGATCTTTCCATGTCCATGTCAACAATTTTTTTCTTTATTTAAACATAACCTGTGAATTGAGAATGAAATGAATTAAATGTGATTGGCAAACCATTTTGTTTAACTGACAAATTTTGGGCTATTTCAAAGAGCCAAACTTGTCGAATTAACAGCTTTGTAAGAAAGAGTGAAAATTTTAATTTGTGAATTTGGTTTAATTCTCTTTTTTTTTGGTTTTATTTATATTCAAAACATGATCATCTTGAATTTCATGTGAACATGGAAGAATTATGAATATTTATCATGATGCATGAAAAGGCCTACTATTTTTATGTGACTGAGGTCTACAAAAGGGTTTAGGGGACTCTCTTTATTGATGGAGTGGGAGGGCTGGATAGGGAAAATATTTAGTGTGAGGTGAGCTTGAGGTAAAATGAGGTCAGTTTTTTACATCACCTGACCTTTAACCTTGCTTATGCATTTGCTTGCTGAAGAAAACAAAGCCATCCACTTCATCCAGGGTTCAGCACAATTACCATTAGACCACTCTGCCTTCAATTGGTTTGAATATTATAGCCCTTGAGTTACATTGTGATGTGGTTTCTATAGATGAGGAAGAAGTTGTGCCCAGGAAATTAAAAAAGTCTACCAAACAGACAGAAAATGTAGCTTCTAAAGAGGTCCAGCAAGTTAAAGAGAGGTATCATCCATCATTCTCTTTCATGATATTTTACATTTCAGTACCAAACCATGGTGTTCATTTAGAACATAAGATATTACTGTGGAGAATCTTCTGGCTTCTTCTAAAAATATCCAGCTAAATTTTGTTTGTCTGTCTGTTTGTTTGTTTGTTTTTTTCCTCTCTTCCATCAGACATTAAGAATGTTAGATCTGTCATAGGACACTGCTCTTATGCCGATACATTCAACCTGTTGACCCCTTAGAGTGACCAGCTTCTAATTTCTCCTTACAATATCATCCCTGAATCAAACATTAAGGTCATGAGAGTAAAGGAAATGATCACCAACTAAGCTCTTTTTTGTTAAACAAATTCTCCTTGTCAGTACCTCAGGAAATGTATAGAGAACAGTATGGAGAATATGCATACTGAGTTTCAGGTGTTAAGGGTTGAAAACAAAAAACAAACAAACAAACAACTGCAAAATAATAAAGACAGTGTTACACAGCCATCAAGGGTGAATTTAACACAATATTGTTGTGGAACTAAAATATTTAACACATGGATTGTTATTCTTGCTTCAGTCCAGTCGAGCCTAAAGAGAAAAAAGCAACTTCTACACTTGATTTCTTTGGTTCTACTTCAGTCGAAAAGGAATCCAGGAAAACATTTGCCAAAAAAGAAAACAGGTGAATAAACAACTACTCTTTTTTTGCCCACAATTTTTTTTTAAAGAAAAAATCAGGCATCCTGTGTATTTTTAACAGTACTTCATGCATCATGCATTGAACAGGGAAAACTTTAAACCTCACCATACCTTGCCTTTCTATAAAATTCATGCATCACATGTTAATTTTTGGGCATAATCAAGCATTCCTTGTAAACCCTCTGCCAATCTGTTATGGTTATATCAGGATGAACTACAGTGAACACATATCACATCACAAAATTAATGGGCAATGACTAATTGAGGAATAGTTTTGGCAAAAACGATACCATGGGCCTCCTTAAAGGGGTGAGTCCTTTCACCTCTAAGATATTTAAATCAATTCTCTTTGCTGTCTGTCACACAAGTGTTATGACAATATCTTTGAGAATATGGTGTTCACTCAAACGATATCTTCTGGTCTGATGATTTTCTTTCTTCTCTTTAAATTGCTGCTTGACTGTGAATTGTTATTGTTACAAGAAATTAGAAAATTAATAAATCTTGAGAGTGCAAATTTTAAGCTTGATCCAGAGCTCAGCCCACTTAATGATCGTACCTTGATTCCCTGTAGAACCATCAAGAATTTTTTCCATTTCACTCAGAGATCTGATGAGTCTGAAGAAAATGAAGACTCCAAAGTGAATAGAGAAGAAGAGTACAAGAATGGGAGAGAAAAAGAAGGAAGAGAAAATCGGAATGTCAACTGTCACACAACGGAGCAACCATCAAAGAAAAGAAAGGAAGACCGCCCAGAATCAAAGTCTGAGGTTAAAAAGCCTTCCCCTGAGAAGAAAAAGGTTTGTAAGCCTTTTGATCACCATCCTTTATTGTTCCAGAATTAATCAGTAAATATTAATGCTTAAACGTGCTACCCTGATACTAGAATTGATTGGATCTGATATGATTGCATGTGTATGGTATGTATCTTTAAGCACTTGAATAAGTTACTTGAAGATGAAACAAATTTTATGACTAAATTTGGCTTTGTATAAGATCCAAAAGCTTACTCAAACTTGTTAACTGGTGGTACATCTCAGTTGTATATGTAAACCTGTCCTACTATGAAATTAGATGGTTTTTACTCAGATGCATATTGCTAACAATACTTGCAACAAAACATTACTTTCAATACTATAACCACTCAAAATACTACCATTACTGTACCTAGAATTTACACTAAACAGTAACTGTGGTGACAAAACTTTTAGGTACATTCTTGGTGATTTTAACTTTGACAATCCAGGAAGATGCTGCCATTTTGTCTCCATTTTTCAAAGCAGCAGTGCCTTTCGCTATCGACATTCCTATTTGGGACAACTCTTGCCTTGTTAGGACAACTCTCAGCTTTTAGAATGTTTGATATACATGTAACTTTTGTTCACTTCAAATTTTATCCATGGACTTTTCAGGAAGTACCAAAGACAACTCCCATTAGCAAACTGGCTGCCAAAGCTGCCACAGTTCCAGAAACTCCAGTTAGAGACTCAAAACCAAGTCCAAAGAAAACTGTTACTCCGAAAAAGGATAAAAAAGATGTTGATAAGGAAACTCCAATCAAAGGAACACCAAAGGTGTCAAAATCAGAGGAAGTGGTTGAAGTTCCACCCTCACTGGAAAAGAAAAATCTAGCTACCATAGTGCTATGGCAAGAGATGGTCCTAGGACACTTGGTTCAAAGGAAATCCCTCAGGTAGGTTTCAAAGACCAAGATCTGATTGTTAATTCTCCCCTCTATCTGCTACACATTTTTCTGTAAATTAATAATGAGAATTTGTTGTTAGATCATTATAACACAACTACATGTGCCTGATGAGTTTTAGTATTCTCATTACCTGTTTGCTGGATAATGTATGGATATTCTTGGGAGAAGTTACATGTTAATTTCTTCTGGTAGTTAAATTATTGTTATCTCTCAAAGCTCTTTGTGGTTTATTTTCCATCCTTTCAAATTTTAATGAGAGATGCAAGACAAAGGAAAATGAAGATTATTAGAATTAAGGCTTGGTTGGAAAATCTGCAGATACAGTTTATTGAAAAAAAATTGTAAAATGCATGCTTTGATTAACCCTTTTACTTCCAAGATCTCAATAGTAATTCTCCTTACTGTCTGTTATACAATTCTTGTAATGGTAGTTTGGAGAATTTGGTCTTGGATCTACTAATAATCCCCTGGTTGATATTTGTCTTTATTCTCATCACTTGTCTGCATGATATTGTATTGATATTGTAAGGAGAAATTCTGTCTTGGTCACATATGGGAGTTAAAGGGTTAAACAAAAAAATGTATTTTATCCTTTTACTATCAGTTGATGTTCGAATGTTGGTTCAATGTCAGTATCTAAGAAACTGCCCACCTACCCCTCCCCTAATCCAATATTAACCCTTACTTGCTATCAGTTGATGTTTTTTGGGTTGGGGAGGGGTAGGTGCACAGATGCTGACATTGATCTGAAATGTTTATGGTGTACCTACAGAGTTTTTTTCATTTTTCACCATTTCTAGCTTTTCAGTTTGGGCAGTATTAAGAGGCCTTCAAGGGAAGAATTAATTATTTGTCTGCACATCTTGAATCATGCACACACTTGATAATTTAATTTTTAGAGAGCGGAAAACTGTTTGGATGGACTGAAATTTGTTATTATGGGAGTCTTGGAAAGTATTGAGAGAGAGGAAGCTGCTGATTTGATTCAAAGATATGGTGGAAAAGTTACCCAATCAGTGAGCAAGAAAACAAGTTATGTCGTTATGGGACGGGATCCTGGAGAGCATAAACTTTCTAAGGTACATTGTAATACACAGATCAAAAAAGGAAAGACAAAAAACAAAAACATGAACACCAACATATAGGTTGCACCTTTTTCCCTAAATTTTTGTAACAAATCTGGGATGCGGCTTACTGCAAAAATACCAGGGAAACTTGCCACAAATTTGCATAAATTAACTCAATTAATTGATGATTCATAAGTCTGTGTAGCAAACTAACAAAAACTAAAAAAAATTCCAAGAAATTAATTATTTCTTTTGCACGTTTGTTGGCTTCTAAAAGAGCTGTTCTTGTTCATAGGCATAAGCTTATATTTCTTGCTGAGGAGGTCATTAAACATTGCTTTATTTAGAGACCCATTAACTGATTTAAGGTTGTCTCTACTTCCTTGAACAGCTAAACATTATTGGACAAGGAAACTATGGTTTCTTTGTTGTTGTTGCTCTTTTTTTTTTCCTTTTTCCGACTTTGGTTCTTATCTGTTAGGCTAAGGCAATGTGCAACATCACAAATAGATGAAGACAGTCTATTTTAGCTTGTCAAAACAAAACCAGGCAATAAGACCAGCCATGAACCACCAAGTGTGGAGAAGAAGACAAAAAAGAAGGAGAAAACTGAACCAGTGGAGTCCCTCAGCCAGAGAAAAGATCAGTTTGAAGGTGATTTGTCACAACTGAGTGAAAGATCTGTGTCATCTCCAACAACACAAACAGTATCATCATCACCTGCACTGAAAGGTTGGTGTTACAAACCTTTCCAATAATTAGCACAAGAGCATGACTTCACAGTAAATTTAATTCACACTTCAGCTGTATGCCTTAAATTTCCTCACCAGTGAGCATCCTACATGTATTGTGCTGTGATTATACTTAGTGAATATATTCTCTCTTGTGTGCGTCCAGGTGCATGACTTTGTACAACTTACTGATGACATAAACACGTTTCCTAATTCCCACATTAAGAGATACATTTTTTTAAACAGCTGTAACTTATGAACTTGATGAATTTATTTCACTCGACAGTCACTTATACATGTAGTTAGTATGTTAGTAATGGAATCACAATTTTAAACATTTTTATTTTGCACAGCTTCCTTTTTCAACAAAGACCAAGATGGGTCGTCGTTAAAGGCAGCTCTTCTGTCCGGTTCCCCAGGAGTTGGTAAAACCACAACAGCAACACTGGTTTGTGGAGAGCTTGGTTTTACATACATTAAAATGAATGCTAGTGACACACGGAGCAAAAGGACTTTGGAAGAACAAATTTCTCATTCACTGAGCAATAAAACCATGGATGGCTTTCTGTTGTCAAATTTCTGTAAGATTTGGAATGAATTTTATATTATAAAGATGCTTCATTCATTCTCCTGTCTTACTAAGCTGATTTTCCTCTGTAGTTAATTTATTATTATCAACTGAGTTAGTTACGTAAATTACAGCTCTATTGGTCATTTTTTCCTACAAAATTTGTGAAGTTTCCAAGCCGACAAGTCGCCCTCATCAATAATAAGAAAATTTCCTTCACTATGCTTTCGGTATGTGTGTTTCTCTTGTGGTGTAAAACACCTAAGTAACACATGAGGTCTCGTTAGTTTTGGTTATATAATAAGTGAATAACCCACATCTCTTACTCACCCGAGCGCCACGTGCGTACTGTAAGTTCAGGAGCGAGTTTTTTGTTTTTGTTTTTTTTTTCCGCTTTGATTCGCGGCGCAAGCGCAAAGCCTATAGTTTGGTCATGGTTTCTAATAGGGACTTATAGAGAAAGGAACTATGCTCATTCTCCCCAGTCCTTTCAGCGCCCTTCGATCCACCTAAGCAGGCGGTGGTTTAACGACCATCACATCAGCAAAAAAATAAATAAATAAAAAAGTAGGATGTTTATGTCATTGTGCTACACTCCGGATTAATGAAAATGAAAAGTTAAGAAATGTAACATGAACCCCTGGCCAAACGGTTTACGGTCAAGTCGCCCGAAAGTCATCTCGCCCGAAGTCATGTCGCCCGAAATTCATAGTCGTGTCGCTCGAAATCCTAAGTCATGTCGCCCGAAGTTTTATCGAGTGTTTAAACTTGAAGAAAAGTAACATCTTGAGTAAATCGCAAGGAATAAACTCGTAAAATGTTGACTCGTGAAACTCATGTTGTTCATTTCGCTGTCGTTTGATATCACGGAGATAGTAATCTTAAAATAGAACACGAAAATAAAAAAAATATAATAATATCAGTTACAGTATGGCTCTAACTGTTGTTGTTTTATCTGTGGAAGCATTCTGTTTCGAACGAAGGTTCACATCACCACGATTAAAACATTGAAACATTGGAAAACGCCGCCATCTTGAATACAGCACGTGCTCAAGAATCATACATGGTTGCCAAGCAAGACGACGTTGACGTGACTTTGCGGTAAATTCAGACACGTATTAATACAAAGATATTTATTGCTAGCAACTAAACATAATTACACGCGAGGACACGTGGGTTGTCCAAGTGACACCCGTCCCTTGAAAACAAATTCAAATGCCAACTTAAGGTAAGTTCGTTAAAAAAAAAAAAAAACTTATTACATATCTGATTTTTTTTATCGTGATAAAATAAACTATTCCTTTTAAACTAAAATAATAGTAATAATATCATTACTTTCCTAAACGCGAGCAAAAACTAAAGAAAAGTGATCTGTACGAACTGGTCTATGTGGTTAGTGAGAGCATACTTTAAGGAGTCGCCTACTTGAAATTTTACTTGCAGTGTAGTCCTCCTAGTAGCCAAAGATTCTTGCTTGAAGTGCGCGATATTTTTTACGCTGGATCCTTTGCAGTTTTCTGGCGTTGACGAGTCGAACTTGGACGGTGTACACAGAGGACTCTCGGTGGAGCAGCTAAATCAGAAGGTAGAAAGGTAGATGAACTCTACCACCAGCGCGTCGGTTGAGGGAGTTGTGCCATCCCTCGATATCATTATTGGTACGGACACATCGGCAGGAAATATTGGACAAGATGGCGGCCGCGCTTGCGCATTTCGTCCATAATGGCGTCCAAATAATATAAGAAACTGTATGGAAATTTGTAAAATTCCTAAAATATAACAATCAGGAGCTCATGGTCCCGTCTGCTCTCGATCGAGACATTCAGTGCTGATTCTGCTATTCATCAAACCTCACAGGGACTCGATAAATAAAAACCACTTGCTTCCCGCGGCGAGCCAGTTCTTTTGTCATTGATCGTTGACCTAGGTTACCATACAGTTCTTCAAAATTGACTGCTACAGAGTTCGAAGCGTCCAAATATCCTGTAAAATAGCTATTTCCTCCCATCAAAAAAGTTCCCAACGCGCCAGAATATCCCTTATGTTCCATGTTGAGTAAGTGACGAGATGCCATGTTGAAAACTATGACTGAAATAGTTAAACACGAGCAACGCTGATCTTCGAGTCGTCGGCCATATTTGTTTATGTTCTTGCAGGGAAATAAACTAGTTCTCGGTCCTTTTCGAAATAAAAATATGCCAGGCATTGAATGCAAATTCAGAAGTCTTAGCGCGAAAATTAAATTAAAGCAAATCAAAATTCTGACATCATGTCATCGCTCTGCCTCGAAAAATCCCAAAGATTTACTTGCAGGCCTTCTTTTCTTTTTCTTTTCATCAAATAGAAGATCTGCAGTGCTCAAATTGTATAAGTCATGGTACGAAACACTCTTCTTTGCAGATCGAGCCGTGATCACCGCTATATTGAATTCTCTTGATATTCTATTGTTCCGGAGTGTAATACGATATACCGCTGATAATTGTTAGCGGGCTCGAAATGTCCTTGATTTCTAGCGATGGGCTGTCCCTAGACGCTCCAGGAACTGGGTGGAAAAGCGTTGGTGTTGACCCATTGGTTGTCTGGTCGCTTGCAACTTTAGCCGCTGGAAACTCGCTGGAATTTCTTGGTGAAATTTGTACTCCAGGCAGACTTCTCTGGCCGCGGACCAGATTGCTCGCTCGAAGTCAAGAACAATCTTTTGAACTCGTATTTTCGAAAGCTAAACATTGGAAGTTTGCTGAAGTAATCAAGGTTTACCTGAGAAACTCTCGTTCATCGTTGATTGTAGTGATTCTCGTTCATCGGGCTGGCTGATGTTGCAAGGAGGCGGATACTCTGGAGAAAGATCTGCAAAGCAAAAATAAAACCGTATTTTTACCGTGAACTCGTTTAAGGGAAAAAACGTTCAAGATGAGACTTGGGCTAGAAAGGTTAAGTTCTTGGTTAAGAATAAAATTATTTCAGGGACAAACAGTGGAATTTAAATTTTTGTACCTTGGGCGAAGTCGGTTCTTGTGCTATCAGCAGCGGGAACCTGGTCACTTGGGTTCGATGCCGCAAGAAAACATGCAACGCACGACCAATCTATTATTCCTCTGAATTATTCCTACCTCCGGTAGGTGGCAATGATAAAAAAAAACCGCTGTAAAAGTTTCAGGTTGTTTTTTATGCGATAAATCAAACTAGGAGAACTTGATTTATTTTTCTGATATGTGTCAAAAATTCTGATAACTGAAAGTGTTCCGCTTATAATTACTAGAATCTGAACTGTAGAATGAGCAGTTTAATTCATAGCAACGAACAACGCTGAAATGAACAGTGATATTTGAGTCTTTGTTTTACTTCATATTCGCATAGGTTAGCGGACGAAAACATTTTAGGAGGTTATTCTTGCGATTGTTACTTTTCTTCAATCTATACTGTAAAATAAGCAGTTTAGTTCATAGCAACGATTAACGCTGAAATGAACAGCGATATTTGAGTCTTTGTTTAACTTCATATTTGCATAGGTTAGCGGAAGAAAACATTTTACGAGTCAACATTTTACGAGTTTATTCCTTGCGATTGTTACTTTTCTTCCAGATTAAACACTCGATAAAATTTCGGGCGACATGACTCAGGATTTCGGGAGACATGACTATGAATTTTGGGCGACACGACTCTGGTTCCGGGCGACATGTCTTCGGGCGATATGACTTTCGGGCGACTTGACCGGTTACTTGTCAAAACTTAGTGTATAAATAGTGAAACAGCATAGCTACAAAATAGAAACATGGATCACGAAATAAACAATGATACACGATTTTCTGTTTCGAGTTCGATGAGCTCATATTCAGCTTCTTCAATACTGCTTGTGTTACCAAGTGCACCGTTTTGTTACGTTTTTGTTGTTGTGAGGCAAATCACATTTTGACAGGAGTTAAGGTGAGGATAAAATAAGTTCATAGCGACCTAATGCAGTGAGTGAGATAAACGGGTATTGACTAAAGATACAAATAGAAATCATTTCAAACATGAGACAAAAGAATGAAAGAAATATCGATCTTGTTTACTCGTCACGAACGCAGGATCGAATCTTAGACCATCGGATTTTACGATCTAAAGTTCACCCACATAGCTTTAAATTTCTCGTTAATGAGCCATGACATACAATGGATACATAAAGGATCATCCTGCATCCTGCTAAGATCATCAATGTCGAAAGTTTTATGTCTTAAAATACGCAATGATAGAGAGGAAATTTGATGCTCTTTCGTGACAAAGGAAAAAATCATTTTTAACCGACAACTCAAAAAAAACCCTATCCGTCAGATCAGGTTAAACGACAGATTAAATATTAATGTTGACATGTAGATAAACATACCTGACCTTGAGGTAGCTTATTTATCTTCCCATGAAGGATTTACGAAGCTGCGGTATTTCTGATTCCAGTATCAAGTGCGTCACTTGTCTGTAGGAACTATTGTACAATTATTTATGACCTCGCTTATTGCATCCAAACTCAGGAGACAATTCTAGAGCTCAAACAGACAGAGTTAGGGCCTCAGATTTCTCTTCCAACTTAAAGACAGCTGGTTCAGTAACAATTTATTCATAAAATTCCAGTAAGATACACTGAGGGTTTCTGTTTACAAAGATACACGGAGTACATAGATTTAAAATATTTTGAATATCTTCCTCGGATATTTCTTTAAGAAGAGTACTTATGGTATTCGCTTTAATTCTTTCGCGACACGATTGAAATATGCTTTTCTTTAGATACAACGAGAAGTCGAGTATTTTTCTTGGAAAAGAACTTGATTGGAGTTAAATTCATTGCAAGTACTCTTCAGGTGAGGAAAGATAATGAAGAAATATGTAGCATATTATAATCGAAAGAAGAGAAAATTGGAAAAAAATTTACATAAATAATACATATTGTTGATGTGATTTCTTTAGCTTTGTATCTCCCTCTGGTGATTTCACTGGTCACCTACGCTTTTGACTTCAAAAATATTAAGTGCTGAATTGGCGGGAGTTATTTACAAGAAAAAAGCTTACCGTTATTATTTTTAGAAACTTTATGAAGTTGTCACGGTGAGAGCGGAAAATGAAACTTTGAGGGAACTGTAACGCTAATGGGAAGATGACCAAAAACAAATGTGTATCATATTGAACGAGGGATATATCGAGTTGATCGCTTGAAGAGAAATTGCATTGGTACAATATAACTCACGGTGTGAATTCATCCTTATCGATTCGGTTATAGCACAGTGTAACATGTCCTGCTCTGAGTAGAAAAGGGGTTTTGCGGATTGCGAGTGTTTTGCACTAAAAGAAAAAGAGCTGAATTTAAATCACAGAATTAATTAATCGCCATGG